GTGTGCAGCGTGTTTGGGGGCTGGGATCCTGGGCTCATTAGGGTGAGGGGAGCCCAACCTCTTATCAAAAGTTTCAACCACACACGGGCCCAGAATGGTACAGCAGGGCAGGGGGGGCACCTTCCCTGACAGGCACCTTTACTGGGGCCCTCCCCCAACCTTGCTCACCAGGGGACCCTCCCCTCCCCCACGCGGGCCCACTACCAGCCCCCACCAGAGACTGCGTGTCCCCCACTCAGCTCCCCTCCCAGCCTCTGGAGGGCTCCGGGGAGCCAGTCAGCCGGGCCAGGGCTCTGCAGGGCAGGGGGCCCGGGCAGTTCACACCCTCCAGGCTAGTGGACCAGGGCAGCTCCTTTGCCGAGGGCTGTTCGTGGCCCTGCCCGGCACCAGGCCCTGCCCCTGAGGGATTCTCTCCCCTGCCCCTGGTGCCCCATGAGCCGTCAGGGCAGGGAGCTGGGTCGGCCTCAGTGACGCCCCCACAGGCTTGGGGAGAGACCCTGAGCTGGAGCATGAGCTCCAGGGACTGACTGGCTGGCTCAGGGGGGGCAGGGAATGGGACCCACTAACCCCTGTCTCCCCAGAGCCCCCTGAGGTGACCGTGTTCCCCAGAGCCCCCTGAGGTGACCGTGTTCCCCGAAGACCCCGTGGAGCTGGGTGAGCCCAACGTCCTGATCTGCTTCGTGGACAAGTTCTCCCCGCTGGTGCTCAGCGTGACGTTGCTGAAGAAGGGGCAGGAGGTGACCGAGGGCGTCTCCGAGACCGACTTCTACCCCCGCCCGGACGACTCCTTCTGCAAGTTCTCCTACCTGCCCTTCCTCCCCAGCCAGGGCGACTTCTACGACTGCCGGGTGGAGCACGGGGGGCTGCCCGAGCCCTTCACAAAGCACTGGGGTAAGGCCGGGGTGCCCAGGGACCCCGCTGGGCACAGGGCTGGAAGCCAGGACTCCTGGATTCTCTCCTAGCTCTGGGAGGGAAGTGGGGGCAGATGGGTTAGAGCAGCGGGGCTGGGAGCCAGGATGCCTAAGTTCTATCCCAGCTCTGGGAGGGGAGTGGGGGCTAGTGGGTTAGAGCAGGGGGGCTGGGAGCCAGGATGCCTAAGTTCTATCCCAGCTCTGGGAGGGGAGTGGGAGCTGG